CAATACCCATTCAAACATATCACCACTGATCGAAGTAGATCCCCCCATTCTGTAAGCAATGTGTCCACGACTTCTGCATAGTTCTTCTTTGTTTTAATTTATTATCAGTTATTCTAATTTATCATTTCTTATTACCTTGTTAGGTGGACTGCACTGAAGCAGGTAAAGACACTTGCAGTAAACATGGAGTCAGTGGCTATCCAACACTGAAAATTTTTCGCAATGGAGCATTTTCAAAGGATTACGATGGCCCTCGGGATTCTAGTAAGTGTCTGATTGTGTTATACATGTGAATGTAAGCCTGTTACTTTGCACTTATATGTGCCTTTTGTTTACTCTTTCAGAGGGTATCATTGCACACATGAAAAAGCAAGCTGGACCTTCATCTAAAGGTCAGTATTAAACAAGAGAGGATCCAAGGTTGGGTTGATGTGCTGTGAAGCAAATCTTTGCTCCAGGGGTGCGAGGCGTTGGTGCTTGGGATTTCAAGTGATGGGTATGATGGAATGGGGCCATAAATCAAAACCTCTCATAACTCCCTAGGACATTCAACAACCCTTCTGGAAAAAAAATACCCAGGGGAATGCAGCAACCCCCCCCCCCTAAAAAAAAAATTCCTTAGACATTCAACAATCCCCCCCCCAAAATTCCTTCACCAAAAATTAACCCTAACAGAAACAAATTTCTGAGCCTAACAAATTTCCAGAAGGAATTAAAAAGATATAGATAATCATGATGTTATGTTTATTCATCATTCCATTTGAATTTATCTTTTTCTGATTTGGCAGTCGTCCATAGTAGAAATAATCAAGAACTTCTTCTGTTTCAACCACAGCATAATTTATAAATCCCTACTTAAATCAACCCACACTAAGGTTTTTTGTTTTCAGGAGTATGTCTGTCTATGTGAGACAAACATGATACAGTTATTTCTCCACTCAGAAGATGTGTTCTATATATGTTTGTTTTGTAGAAATAACAGACGTGGAGAAAATGAACCAGTTTCTCGCAAATGCAGAGGTACCTGTTATTGTTGGTAAGTGACAAAGTTTTTCTAGTCTTTTACATTGTTCCCTGGCTTTTCACCGTTTATCCACAGACATATTGCCACGCTTGGCTTTTTCTGTATTTTCATTTAGAAAATAGCCCAAAGAAAATATGCATGCTGATTGGTTTAAAATCGTATTTCTATAGCTCAATAGCGACACGTTGTTGTTGCACCATTTGTATTATTCTTTGGGTTGTTTCTAATGAAGATAGAAACCATTTTCTTTGTGTTTATATGGAGTTAAAGTAATACTGGTGAAAGTTTGGGACAACTCCAAAAAGCTGTGGAAATGCTCACCTTATGGCTTGAGTTCCCACAGCATTTCTCTTTCTCCCAAACCCCCATTCATGTTTCTTTAACTCGACAGAAATGGCAAAAATGTTTTCTTTCTCTTAATTAAAATGCTATTGGAGTTTGAAGTATATTGCAGTTAAACCTCTTTTTGGTTGACACCAATAGGACATTCCCTGCTGTTTGCATTTTTCTGTGTACTGGAGGCTCGTTAAACTGGATTTAAATGTCATTTCTCATTATCAGCTATCAGTACATTTTCCAGTCCTCATTTCTCAGTTTAAAATTTTGACCAATTTTTTGTTATCAATTAAACCCCATCCAGACCCTAAACCAAGTGAT